ATATGTTTGGTTTATAAAAGCGAAAAGTATGCAATCACATTTTTAGATGTGATTAAGATGTCGTTTGTAAAGTATGACATCAATTATTTTTTGCTGGGGAGTTCACACACCAAATACCGAGCAAAACTGTTGTAGTTGTGACAAATAAATTGTCCACGTACAACTGGTGCAAAACGTGATTTATAAATGTTTTATAACAAATTTTTTGGCCAAACTTGTGTTAATGAACATAGAAATTGTGTCACCCCCCAAAATCTTCAAATTGAAGGCAATTGGGTGTTAATTAAAATTTCGGAATTAAGTTGTCACAAATTTTGATTTCAATAAATCCTTGCTGAAACTACTTCTCGCCTAGTTAGTTAGTTAGTCAGTTAGTTAGTTAGTTAGTTAGTTAGTTAGTTAGTTAGTTAGTTAGTTAGTTAGTTAGTTAGTTAGTTAGTTAGTTAGTTAGTTAGTTAGTTAGTTAGTTAGTTAGTTAGTTAGTTAGTTAGTTAGTTAGTTAGTTAGTTAGTTAGTTAGTTAGTTAGTTAGTTAGTTAGTTAGTTAGTTAGTTAGTTAGTTAGTTAGTTAGTTAGTTAGTTAGTTAGTTAGTTAGTTAGTTAGTTAGTTAGTTAGTTAGTTAGTTAGTTAGTTAGTTAGTTAGTTAGTTAGTTAGTTAGTTAGTTAGTAGTTAGTTAGTTAGTAGTTAGTTAGTTAGTTAGTTAGTTAGTTAGTTAGTTAGTTAGTTAGTTAGTTAGTTAGTTAGTTAGTTAGTTAGTTAGTTAGTTAGTTAGTAGTTAGTTAGTTAGTTAGTTAGTTAGTTAGTTAGTTAGTTAGTTAGTTAGTTAGTTAGTTAGTTAGTAGTTAGTTAGTTAGTTAGTTAGTTAGTTAGTTAGTTAGTTAGTTAGTTAGTTAGTTAGTTAGTTAGTTAGTTAGTTAGTTAGTTAGTTAGTTAGTTAGTTAGTTAGTTAGTTAGTTAGTTAGTAGTTAGTTAGTTAGTTAGTTAGTTAGTTAGTAGTTAGTTAGTTAGTTAGTTAGTTAGTTAGTTAGTTAGTTAGTTAGTAGTTAGTTAGTTAGTTAGTTAGTTAGTTAGTTAGTTAGTTAGTTAGTTAGTTAGTTAGTTAGTTAGTTAGTTAGTTAGTTAGTTAGTTAGTTAGTTAGTTCGTTAGTTAGTTAGTAGTTAGTTAGTTAGTTAGTTAGTTAGTTAGTTAGTTAGTTAGTAGTTAGTTAGTTAGTTAGTTAGTTAGTTAGTTAGTTAGTTAGTTAGTTAGTTAGTTAGTTAGTTAGTTAGTTAGTTAGTAGTTAGTTAGTTAGTTAGTTAGTTAGTTAGTAGTTAGTTAGTTAGTTAGTTAGTAGTTAGTTAGTTAGTTAGTTAGTTAGTTAGTTAGTTAGTTAGTTAGTTAGTTAGTTAGTTAGTTAGTTAGTTAGTTAGTTAGTTAGTTAGTTAGTAGTTAGTTAGTTAGTTAGTTAGTTAGTTAGTTAGTTAGTTAGTTAGTAGTTAGTTAGTAGTTAGTTAGTTAGTTAGTTAGTTAGTTAGTTAGTTAGTTAGTTAGTTAGTTAGTTAGTTAGTTAGTTAGTTAGTTAGTTAGTTAGTAGTTAGTTAGTTAGTTAGTTAGTTAGTTAGTTAGTTAGTTAGTTAGTTAGTTAGTTAGTTAGTTAGTTAGTTAGTTAGTTAGTTAGTTAGTTAGTTAGTTAGTTAGTTAGTTAGTTAGTTAGTTAGTTAGTAGTTAGTTATTTAGTTAGATAGTTAGTAGTTAGTTAGTTAGTTAGTTAGTTAGTTAGTTAGTTAGTTAGTTAGTTAGTTAGTTAGTTAGTTAGTTAGTTAGTTAGTTAGTTAGTTAGTTAGTTAGTTAGTTAGTTAGTTAGTTAGTTAGTTAGTTAGTTAGTTAGTTAGTTAGTTAGTTAGTTAGTTAGTTAGTTAGTTAGTTAGTTAGTTAGTTAGTTAGTTAGTTAGTTAGTTAGTTAGTTAGTTAGTTAGTTAGTTAGTTAGTTAGTTAGTTAGTTAGTTCTATCTATCTATCTATCTATCTATCTATCTATCTATCTATCTATCTATCTATCTATCTATCTATCTATCTATCTATCTATCTATCTATCTATCTATCTATCTATCTATCTTTCTATCTACCTATCTATCTATCTTCAGGGTTTGCGACTGCTGGGTCTGTTAAAGGTTGATAATACCAAGAAACATTTATTCTAAGATTAATAATTCGTGTATGTTTTGTCAAGATATGATAGGATTTGAATATCTCGTAGGATAAATCGTAGGTGCTTTTGTTTATTCAAAATAACAATAACTTTATAATTAAAGTAGTAAATATTTATTATAATATATAAATATAAATCCATTATATTTGAGATTTTTTTAACGACATAAACAAATTTTAATAAGATATGAAGATAATCAATATAAAATAATTAAATTAATTAAAAGTATATTTCGTATGCTTATGAAAAGGAAGAAAAAAATGTGTATATAATTACTGTTTGAAAGAATGACCCAAAAGAAATACCCTTAATGCATGGGTGAGGCCAGACGTGTGGAAGCCTGAATCGTCTGACGCATATTGGCCTTCATACGCTTCTCGCTAACTTGTTTAACCAATTGTTCCTGCAGAGCCAATAGCTCACGTGTGCGATTATAAATTTTATTTTGAGGCCTCATGCTGGGATTCCAACGACAATAAAGACCTTTCCAAATCTTAACAATACGCATACTAGCAATAGGACGCAATATAGTCTGGGCACCCTGGGTGAATGAGGGATACAAAGGATTCAAATATGATCCAAAGAGGAATTGATGTAGGTCCATAAAGAAATGGTTTTGTGTTTGAGATCTGAAAATAAAATTATTTATTTAATGTAATTTATTAGAAATGGAAAATAATATTCACCTTCTTGTATCCGATCAGCCTCGGTGTTGCAGAGGAAAGTGCCAAAACGGCACGAGTATAAATGATCGATTATGGTTATTAGGAAATGTTCATTGAATTCGAAGGCATTTGGATATTGTTGCGACACTTGCCAAACACAGTCTATAAATTGTAGAAATACGGGTGAACGATCAGCATCCGAATGGCGATTATCACCATGTCCAATACGCTGCTGGAACTTATGACCAAATGAAAGCCATTCTTTTTCAATTAATACCTCAAAACCTCTAAGAGTGCGATAATAAGGATCGAGTAGCAACATAGCCAATGCTGTCAATTGGGCAGTACGATCCCAGCCATCGGAACAGTGAACTACTACAGAAGTACTCATAGTTTCCACTTTATCTACTATGCGCACAGCTCCCGCCAAAATACATTTAATATGCTTTAACCACAAACTGTTGTCAATGGATGACAACCATTTGGAGTCATCGATAGTTGGATAACAAACCTCCTTTACCTTGCGCAAACTTTCACGCATTACATGGATATTGTGTATGTCTAGGAAATGTATTTCCACATTTTTATAGGCCTCCTCGGACTCATAGCCACCACCTTTGGCTTTATTAGCTATAGCATTAGCACTGGGCCGAGCATCCATAATGGCCAATTTGTCCGACTGGGCATTAGCTTCCATATATAGTTCAAATACTGCTCATCATCAGCACTACGTTTACCTCCCACACCCACCAAAGGCTGGGAGCATCTAGTTATAGTAGCCTGAGATCTGGGATGCATCCACGACAATACCGGCAAACGGCATCTAGAACGAAATTGTGCCACTCTACGCAGGAAATCATCTGAAGCTTGTTTTGGCACGGCCCATACAGCTGGGTAACTATCGCACACCCCATAAGTTTCATTTATCTTAGTAGCCCTCCACATATCGTTGGGCACACCCAAACGTCGCAATTCGGCCAAAGGTTCATAAACTGCCCAACCATTTTCCCCAGGCTGAGAGCTACCCACTGCGGCAGCATGAGCAAAGGCAAATAAACGTCCACTGTAGGATAAAGGAAAAGCATACGATTGCAGCTTTTCAAATACTGTTCTCCGGGAATGATTTTGTTGCTTGTGGGCAAAACGTAAATTTCTCATATCTTTGCAAAATATTTCAATACCATACGAATTTTCTCCCCTAGAAGTGGCACCACCAATCTTTTCCACCCGAGCTATTACACCCAAAGGCACATCCACCACTACTGGTGGCTCGTGGTCACGCAAAGGCAGAGAACGGAAATATAACCGATAATTTGTTATAGTTAATGCCCCATAAGCTGGTCCCCTATAGGGACATACATAGGTAACATCATTTTTCTGATCCTGATCTTCTTCTCCCTCTAAATAGGTAAAGGGTGTGTCTTTCGTTGTGCCCATTTCCGCACCATGTTTCGAGCCAATCGAACTGGACTTAGAATCCGTGTCCAATGAGTTTGTGCTGGCATTTTTCGATATCACTTTGTCTACCATATTATTGGTGACATCTATACTTTCTTTATATCCATTTCTTTTGTTAACTATTATATTTTTATTAAAAATTTTCACTTTATTTTCTATTTCTGCTTTATTGTTCACTGATAAACAATTGACTCCAGAGATGTTCTACGTGTAATGAATTTCAATAAGAATTTAGTAACATTTTTTAAGCAACGCTGGATTGTTTACCTATTGAAAAGTATAAAGCTACACGGCCACACATCAAATTTGTTTGACTCAAGCGGTAAGTTTTTTGATTGTGTTAGTGAAAAAACTCACATGTATATATGCGGTGTGAGTTTTTTTTACTAACCCAATCAAAAAACAATTTGATGTTTCGCCAAGGCGCTTAAAAAGAAACAATGTTGCCACTTGGGAGTGAAAAGAAAACAACCGTTATTAAAATTAAAACAATTTCTTAAAAAATCAAACAAATGTATATTGAAACTAAACAATTAAGTTGCTATATTTTTCAAGAAAAAATTGTTAATAACACTATTTCTTTTATTTTAAAAATATTTACATAAAAACAATTGGTGTTTATTTTCTGCTGCATTTCATACTTATTATCTGGCAGCATTACCAACTAACGTCATATATGTTTTTCTCACAGCTGATCAATGTTTTTGTAAATAAAGAAAAAAACCAAAGAGTAGCCAAAAAAATGTGGATTTATTGAAGCGCAATTATTTATTGCAAAATTTTTAACAATTACTGAATTAAAACGTTAATAACAAATATGTATACCACATTATTGGCAAAACAGCAATTTAAAATAATTGTGCGATTGTGGCAAAAACAACAATTGCAATTATTAACGGCCAGTTTTATAAACAACAGTACAAATGAAACCGCCGGTCAGAGTATTAGACAATATACAGCAACAACTACACAATATACCACAAGGAATCCTACACATGTGGGTGCTTGGAATAAGAGTACAAGATTATATAGTGATAATGCTAAACAGGGAGGAAGTCAGGGTAAGCAATTGGATATGTCGGAGGTGGAAGATGAAGCAAGTTTAAATGGCTCGGAAGAAGTGGATACATTTACACAAAATTACAATTTAAAACAATTGCTGTACGAAGAAGGAGATGATATAATGAACAAATTGAATTCATGCGGCAGCATTGAAGAGGTAAGAAAATAAAGGAAATTCAGGGACCAACTGTTTATTTGATCTAATTAATATACATTTAAATTCTTGTCCCTCTTGGACACAACTATTATATTTTGCATCAGCTTTGAAAATAGTTAACAATTTGTTGTGCTATTTTTAAAAAAGCTATTATTAAACTTTATCAACGGATAATTCGTGTTTAATTAGGTGCTTGTGATTGTTTAGGGAAGTGTGTATTAGCGATATAAAGATAACAATTTTAATTAAAAAATACTAAAATGTTCTGATTCATTTCGGAAAACAAAAAACAAAATATTGCGCAAATCCTAATTTGAAAAAAAATTAAAAATTATTCATAATTCAACGGATGAAAAAGAAGAGGATCTTATTTCGTGGTATTCAAGAAGCCAATAATGCACTGAAGAGTCACTCTGTTTATTCAAGTCTAGTAGAAGAGAAGTATACATATCCTGCACCATTGGTTTTCTACCAGGAGTTTAGATATTTTTAATTAAAACTTATTCACACATCCTACTTTCTAATTAGTTAAAAGCTGCTTCCTTTTTCTTTCTACAGCTAAAAAATATTCTTGAATACGAAAAATCCCATTTGCATAAAGAACACATAGTTCAATGCGTGATTTTGTTATGGATGTTTAATAGACAAACTAATTCCGGCGCTTATCATCAACAACAATTAAAGGAACGAACTTTTATGGAATATCTGTTACCCCTGCTCAGCGAATATGTTGCTGAATTAGATGCAAATGAATTAAGCACTTGCTACTTGTATTTGCGTAAAATGGGTGTGGAAAATACGGATCCAGTATTACAAAAATTATTAATAAAAGCTCTCAATGAAGTAGAAACCTCTGAAGATATTGTAAGCCTACCGACATTGTCTCGCCTAGTCGTGGGCATTAATACCGGTAGGGATTTCTTTACTCCCATGTTGTGCGCCAATTTTATGAGACATTTACGGCAACACATTGAAATGTGTAAAAGTGAGGAGCAGGCTCGCATGATTGCCATATGCATGTTTAATTTACAAACCTTAATTACCGATGAAATGATTGAGTTATATAAGAGTAAAGTATTCGATTTAATACAATCAGGACAAATTTCCAACACTACACCGAAGACTGTTATAAAAATTTTAAATCTATTAAATATGACGGTATGGTCTCATAAACATGAGCCCCTGATACGAGAATTACTATTAACTCTACAAACTGGTATCAAACAATTAGATGCTAATGATTTGAAAAATGTTTGTCGCATCTATCAATATCACATGGAACCGGCTGCTTTACATGAACCCTTAGCCGAAGCTGTGGAAGATTTATTGAGCAAACAAATGACTCCCGAAACTTTGGCTTGTTTTGTACCCTTTGCCCAGCCTCATCGTAGGGAGACTTTGATAAATGCCTTCAAAGCTTTAATATCATCTCCCGAATCTTGGCAATTAAACAATTCTACCGGTCATCTTTTCACCACCTTAAGAGGTTTGAAAATATCAGACAATAAAATTTGTAATGCCTACTGGAATGGTGTTGTGGCCGAGCTAGAGACTATACCCGAAGAGGAAACACATTTACGTTTCTTACGACATTGTCATCGTTATATGAATTTCAATAATAATCTGGGTGGCACCTATAGACACACCGTTTTGGAAAAGAAGTTGAGTCAATTGTGTATGAGATTTATTGAACATGATTTAGCCGGTAGAATACCACAGAAATTTGCTCGTTTGGCCTCGTTTGTTTTGGCTTATGGTCATACACCGTATAGTTGGAAAAAATATCCGAATATTTTGCTATCAAAAATTATAACAATGGGTGATCAATTTACACCAACTGATTGTTTTCTAATTAGTCGCGGTCTGCAGATTTCATTGGAAATGAGGTAATTTAAAAAAAATTTATGAAATATAATTTTTTAACTCTCATGTTATCCAGATATCGTCATCAATTACCCCAATTAGTAGGCATGCAATTATCCACCATTGATAGCGTCTTAACCGCCTGCATAGAAAAGCATTTAAATGATGAAGAACTAACCGTAACCGATCTAAATATGTTAGTACGTACCTTAAGTAATCGGAGAAGTAAGTTGGAATGTTTAATCCAAAATTCTATCAAAATACTAATACTATCTACTTACAGGCTTAAAGAATAGTGTAATTTATCACAAAACCCTGCAAAAGTACAAAGAAATACAATGTCAAGACTTAAATTCACGCATCATTAAAGATATGTCCTATAATTTCCTAGCCACTAATTATTTAGTGCCTGAAATACTCGAAAATATGTTCACCTATCTAGAGACAAATCATGAACATGTTGTGGGTGAAACGGTGGAAAAACTTTTGACTTGTACTTACAATTTAGGCTATACACCGCAGTCTTATGATGCTTTGCATTATGCGGGCGCGATATTATTAAGGTGAATTATCTAAAGTAAAAGGAGAATGTGTTATATTTATATTGTTTTTATTTCTCTTGCAGAGATTTTAATTATATGAGTGGTTTGGCTTTGGTTCAAGCCTGTTTAGCTTTATGTTTTTATAAGACTATACCTGAAGAACTTATAAATAAAGTATTTTGTGTTAAATTTATCCAACGAGTCGAAGAAGAAATTCAAATGTGTTATTCTAAGGTAATTAAAAAAATACATTATAACTTTAATATAAATATTTATTTCTCCACGTACATACATATTTTTATATTCCTGAAAAGGCCACTTATCCCGAACGTTGTACTTAATATTGTTATGCAATTGAATCGCAGTGTTTGCTTAGATTTTCCCGAAGCTAATGTTCCTTGGTTCCAACAAAATTTCATTGAAGCACAAATTAGCAAAAGTATGTTTTTATCCTTTTACACAATTAGCTATTTTTTAAGTTTAATTGTTATATTTATAGAAACTCCCACGGAAACCCGTTTCAGTCGAGATGTTAAAGGTTTATTGACAGCTTTACTTAAAAATGAGTCGTATATAAGATGTAATCATACGACGCCATATGGTTATCAGGTAAGAAAAAAGTATTACTACTGAGGAACTTGTCCAGACTCCGCTAATCGATCTAGAAGTAGTACCCAAAAAACTAAAATGATTATGTCAGATAGATAGATAGATAGATAGATAGATAGATAGATAGATAGATAGATAGATAGATAGATAGATAGATAGATAGATAGATAGATAGATAGATAGATAGATAGATAGATAGATAGATAGATAGATAGATAGATAGATAGATAGATAGATAGATAGATAGATAGATAGATAGATAGATAGATAGATAGATAGATAGATAGATAGATAGAAGGGCCGAAACAACATCCACAACGCCATAAAGGACCAAGTTAGGCAAATAAGACGAACATACAACGAACTGCGCAATGAAAGGACGAAAGAGGTGGCTGAAAACAACAAAAGTGGAATGGAGACTCAGGCACCCCAACAAACGCCCGCTAAAAAAGATGCCAAACGTGACAGGGAAATAGATGATGAAACCCCTAAAAGCACGGCTCCAAAGAGGCAAAAAAGGTCACCGAAGAAGAAAAACCAACCTGATGTGGTACAAGAGGAAATCGAAACTAGTGACACTATATCGACTCAGGCAGAACTTCCTCAGAACAACAAGTGGAATTTGGTCAAGAAAACAAAAAAGAGAAAATTTAAAAGACCTAAACCAGATGTAATGATTATATCTACCAAAGGAGAGATCTCGTATGCTGATATCTTACGAAAAATTAAAGCTGATCCGGAACTTAAAACTCTAGGAGAGGAGGTGAAGAAAATAAGAAGGACGCAAAAAGGGGACCTTCTTTTGGAACTTAAAACAACAAATAGTAATGTAGACGAAAGATTTAGAGATAAAGTCGTATCATCATTGAATGGAAATGTTACAGTGAAAACACTAAAGGAGGAAACTATTATTGAGTGTAAAGATTTGGATGATATTACAATCGAGTCCGAGATTTGTGAAGCTTTAGCCCGGGAACTAAACCTACCAAGTCTAGACAAGAATATAATAAAATCGCTACGAAAAACGCCTATGGGAACCCAAATAGCCAAGATAAGCCTACCAGTGGAAGCAGCTCGTAAAGCTCTTGAAATTGGAAAGATCAAAATTGGATGGTCTGTATGTCGACTTAGAAAGTCATCACATGTGACAAAATGTTTTAGATGTCTAGAATATGGCCACATTTCAAAATATTGTAAGGCGACAAGCGATAGGTCCAAGCAATGTAGGAAATGTGGAACAGATGGCCACTTTGCTAAAGATTGCAAAGCTGAACCAAACTGCCCACTATGCAAATCGCGGGGAGCAGAGGATATTCGGCATGTTGCAGGAAGCTACAGTCCCTGTGTTTAGAAGGGCACTAAGCGAAAGCAACAAATGAGACTAATCCAATTAAACACCAACCACTGCGCAACAGCGCAAGACCTTCTTGCGCAGTCCATTGTTGAAATGAAGGCTGACATAGCTATAGTCTGTGAACAATATAAAATCTAGACAAAAATGTCTGGGAAAGAGACTCAACAGGAAGAGCCGCAGTATGGGCTTGTGGAAACAAGGCCATAGAAGAGGGTATGAAGGAGCAGCATGAAGGTTTTGCAAGAGCAAAAATAGGTGGTATATACGTATACAGCTGTTATGCGTCACCAAATATACCGATACTAGACTTCGAACGATTTGTGGATGATCTTGTAAGAGATGTATCAGGTCACAACCCAGTCATCATCGGAGGCGATTTTAATGCCTGGGCTATAGATTGGGGGAGTCAGAGAACTAATGAAAGGGGAAGAATACTGCTCGACGCGTTTTCTCAACTCGACCTAATTCTCGTGAATAAGGGTAATTCGTATACATTCAGAAGGGCTATGGCTCGATTGTTGACCTAACATTCGTAAGTGCAAACCTATCAAGAGATGTAGAATGGCAGGTTAGCGAGCACTATACGTATAGCGACCACCAGGCAATAATACTCACTGTACATACCGGAAGTAATACGGTGTCAAAAAGCACAAAGGTAAAAATTCAAGGGTGGTCTAAAGACAAAATCGATATGGAGTGTTTCACCGAAACTTTCTCCAACTACAACATAATAGAAGGCACAGCAACGGAAATGTTTAGGCAGCTAGTCACGTCACTAAAGGAGGCATGCGATGCATCTATGCCAAGGCGGAGACAAACCGAAAGAAGGAAAGAAATTTACTGGTGGAATGATAATATAGCTTCCCTAAGAAAAGCTTGCCTAAAAGCGAGAAGAAAATATCAAAGGAGTAGATGCCGACCCGATCACTTACTTAAAAGGGCTACTTATCATCGGGCTAGGAAGGAATTAAAAGAAGCAATACACAAAAGTAAGTCGGAGTCCTTTAAGAACCTCTGTAATAAAGCAGACGAAAATATATGGGGTAGCGCATATAAAATAGTTATGGCTAGTACAAAAGGAAGGAAATCCACACAAACTACCTGTCCCGAACTTGTTACTAACATAGTGAAATCACTGTTTCCAGACGGAGAACCATACAACGAGCAGGAATATGTCACCGAAAGTGGGATACTTCATGAAGTACAAGTTTCGGATGCTGAAATTGTTGAACTTTGCAAGAGAATAGGGGACAACAAAGCTCCTGGAATGGACTCTATCCCAAATAAAGCGCTTAAGCTAGCGCTTCAAATAAGACCACAGGTGTTTGCAAATATTTTTACTAAAAGCCTAAAGGAAGGCGTGTTTTATAGTGAATGGAAGAAGCAGAAGCTAATTCTTATACCAAAGCCTGGTAAACACTAGGAGAACCCGGATCCTATAGACCAATATGTCTCCTGGATACAGTGGGAAAATGCCTAGAGAGGATAATATATAGCCGTCTACAGTCCGCAGCCGAGGAAGTAAGTGGCATCTCCCAAATGCAATACGGCTTCCGCAGGCTAGATCAACAGTCGATGCCATAAATCTAGTATTGAAAACTGCAAGAAATGCAATCCAAGGCAAAGGGGTAGCAAGAAAATATTGCGCCATAGTGACCTTAGATATTAAAAACGCTTTTAATTCAGCAGGATGGAAACATATAGTTTCGAGGATGAAACGTATAAATATCCCGAACTACTTGATCAAGATAACAATGGATTACTTCACTAATAGGACTTTATGGTACGAAACTGATAATGGGCTGGAGTCACACAGTATCACGGCAGGAGTACCACAGGGCTCTGTACTTGGCCCCCTTCTGTGGAATATTATGTACGACGACATATTTAGACTATCGTAGGATATCGTAGGATTTGCAGACGACGTAGCAATAATTGTCCAAGCAAGACACCTGCAAGATGTCGAACTATACGCGAATGAGGCGATACATAGAATTAGTTTATGGTTGAAATCCGTAAATCTTAACCTTGCAGACCACAAAACAGAGTCTGTGTTGATAAGTGGTAAAAGAAAAAGGGAAACGATAACGCTACAAGTAGGAAACGCTATAATAACGTCGTCACAAGCAATAAAATACTTAGGGGTGATGATAGACGACCGTCTGAATTTTAAAATCCACATGGATTACGCATGTCGTAAAGCAACTGGCGTTACAAATGCACTTGCCAGAATGATGCCAAATATTGGAGGGCCTAGATATAGCCGTAGACTTCTTCTCACTAGCGTGACAAATTCAATACTACTCTACGGTGCACCAGCATGGGGAAAAATGATAAAACCTCAACCATAAAGAACATTATGTCCCTCTTTAGGAGAAGTTGCTTAAGAGTGTGCTGCGGATACCGTACTATATCTATTGAGGCTGCCAGCGTCATAGCTGGAATGTTACCAATAGACATGGCGGTCAGCGAACAAACAGATATATATCATGCGCTGTGCGAAGACTCAAGTGCAGATAGGGGTGCAATAAAATTCACGGAAAGGGAAAAATCTATTCACAGGTGGCAAAGACGGTGGGATAACGCACCAAAAGGCAGGT